GTTCATGGGGTCACGAAGAGTCGGACACGACTTAACGACTAAACAACAACAACAAAGGCCAGCTATCAGCTATAGGTAAAAACAAATAAAAAAACAAAAAAATATGTATATATCTGAAGCTAAAAATACAATTTTTCAAATGAGATGGGTGGTATATATAGAGGCACAGAATTGGGCAATGGGAGGATATATCTGAATAATGGTCAGGTAGAAGTGACAGATAGAAATTATGCTCCCTGCCAAGGAATTTCTTCAGGATAGGGTGGATAAAAGTTGTCCACAATTCCCTGAAAAGAGAGCAATAAAAAAGCACATGGCTCAAGTACACTACTTGGCCATCCATACAAGGACATATATATTAGTGTAGGGGAGTAATTTTAATGCTCCCAGCAGAACAGCAGAAGGCAATGCATCCAGCCTCACCAAAGTGAAGGCACAGAGAAATTTCACAACCGTTATGGTGGAGAATAGGAAGCTGGCACATATCAATTTGGAAAATCCTCACGTGCTGCAAGGCTGGCAACTAGACTTAGATTGACTTGAATATATATATTTTTTTATTTGATAGAGTTGCCTAGTCCAAGATCAATGTTTCAGATATGCTGCTTAAGAATTTTCTGGCATTTTTGAAGTCTAATGGCTTCCCTAGAGTCCTGCGGAGTGAAGCTTGCCAATAACTCTTTTAACCAGGTTGACTTAAAATTGCCTCTAAGAATTAGTGAGGCCACACCCACTGAGAAGAAAGCTAATTTCTGTAACTTTTGCAGTTCCAGTGCTGCTTACAAGCTCCATGATCCTGTGTTCAGGATGTTTGGTAGATAAATGGCTGTCCATCCAGCCCAAAATGGCAGGAAGATAAGCCTGGCTAGATATTGAAGGAAGGAAGGGAGGGAGGAATGTTACTATCTCCACTCAGCCCCTTCAGAATTTCTCAAATATGCCCTCTCCTTTTTCTCTAGTCTTGTTTTAGCAATCTCTGTTCTTCAAATAGATCAGAAACTTTCCTCTCAGCCCAGATGGAGCTGAGAGAAAGAAGTCTCCTCCTCTTTACCAGAAAGCAGAATAAAGACTAAGCTGAGAGGGATTCCCTCCATCAGATGCAGGAGTTTTAAGAGGTGCAGTTAACTCTTTTCTTCCATCTTTGGTAAATGAGAATAGAAGATTTTATTATATAGAATTATACAATCGTAGAATTATGGAGTTGGAAGGGACCTCAAGGGTCATGTATGTTTAAAAAGCTGTCTTACATCTTTGTCTGAGTTAACACACTCTGAAGCAGCACCATATTCTTGGAGAAAGGAGGCAGACACTTTTCAATAGTCATTCTTCCTTGTGTTCTCTGTTAAGAGCAGCTCTTCCCTACAGTAAGTAGGGAAAATTGAGAATATGGCCCCCAAATATCTCAAATCAAAGAAGACACAGATGGTTAAACATTTGACAAGTTAGTCTTCTTGCTCCTCTGCAACAGAAGAAATAAGACGCCATTGTAGCTGAAAAGGCAGAGTGGCTGCCTCCGGCTTGCTTAGAAATGGGGCAATATAAGCTCTCCAATGCATGTGCCTGAAGTTGCTGTTAAAACAGGTAGACAATACAGCTCTAGAATGATATGTGCATAAAAGGTTCTTAATTTGTTCTAAATTTATAAATTTTGCTCAGTAATTCCCAAGGTAATTCCTAGTAATTTTCCATTTCATAGTAAAATGACATATTAAGATATTTAAGAACAATGTGGGAAGAATTAAAATATATTTTAAGGAAACATACCTAGAGGTATTTGAGCTCTCTGACAAAGGCATATCCAGACTGACTGGACTGTTGCTATTGCGATCACTGCTTTCGTACCCAGATTCCATCCTTTGGATCAGACGAGGATGCTGATCCATCATATGATGTGCACCTCGTCCTAAAGCCCAGTGCTTATACCTGTTGGACCGGTTTGGTTTTGTTTCACACGCTGGCTCCTTTAGCTCTTCTTCTATAAATTCTTTGGCTGACAAACGAGATATTACAGTATATGAAAGAAGAGTTATATGTAATTATTTCACTTAGTACTCCTATATGGTTCAGTTCCTGGAGCACAAACTTCAGCCACAGAAGCTCACTGATTGATTTTGGATCAGTCACTCCCAGTCAGCCAATCTACCTCACAAGGCTGTTGGTGTAGGTAGAATGGGAGGAGGGGTGCTATGTACCTTGAGTTTCTGAAAGAAGGGAAGGCTATAAAATAATTGATTGAACAAACAAATAAATGTTTGCCCAAAAAACATGGTACCATTCTGCCCTGTTCCACCTTAAATCTGTACCTAGATTCACAATAATGTTAAGCTATAACATAGCTTATTTATTTTTTATTTTGTGTGGTATGTGAATGCAGCTACTAAGTTTTTGCATAATAACAATTCTGAATCAAATATACGATTTAAACCTTTCCTGGTGCTATATATCAACCCACTCTTTCTCACCTTTGCAAAAATCTATTCAGATTGACTTTCAACGTTTTCTAAACCTTCTCAACTTTCCCTTATCTTTTTATCTTATTGACATACTGCTAGATAGACATTTATCCAAATTGCATCTAGACACCTCCCTTTCAGAGGGATCACCTTAAAATGTATTTGTCAGGACTTGCGCAAGCTACCAATTATAGACTATTAGAAAGTATGCTTAAAATGTAGAATTGTGATGAATAGCTAA